AAAGCCGGACCGGATTTTATCGAAAGCCAGTCTCGCCTTGGAAGATCTCACTTAATTTATACGGTAACTTACAGTAAGTGGTGGGCACGACTTTTTTGGCACACGGCATTGAATGGCACAGCCGTTGGCTATATTAGGCATCGAAGTTACACTCGATCATAATATGTTTGCAGAAAATAGCATCAGTGAGCTTATTAATCAAAACAAAGTAGCGGTTATCGCTAACAACTGTTAGATCGCTCCAGTACCACAGACGCCAAGAAAAGTTAAGAAAACTGCTCCACAAAGCCAATTTTGGCTAGGACAAGAGGGATATTCACATACGAAATCTTTAACAATGCACAAAATATAAAACAAAAAATTTAATGAATTGTATTATAGCAATCATCGATATCTTGTTTTCACATTTACGACACGATGCAACATATCGACTTTGGTCAATGAATGAATAAAAGTGTTACGCACACGATTGACATAATTGCAATACAATGAAAGTTACGTAAATGATGAAAAAACAAGCACAAACATTGCGAATAAACGAACGACCGATATTACATTACATACAAATAATATAAAATCAGATTTTCTTTATAATGGTATGTGGATGAGCCTATCTTATTTTTTTACTGGTTACGTTATTAGGCCTAATGAGTTCCAAGGAACTGAAGATTAGCATTATTTTTGTACTCTAATAAACAGTCTAATACGAACAATTTAATGTTATAAAAGGAGACAAAATAGATGAAAGAATGTAAAACAGATCAACATGGTATTAGAGTCACGTAAAAGGTCTTGTTAGTCAAAACAGGACTAAATCAACGCCTTGAAATGGTAATTCTGATACAAATGAAAATTCCGTTTTGTTATTCAATATGAAAATATCGTCTTTGAAATGAATTTACCGAAGAAATACAATTTATAAGGAATATTTCATGCTTTGTGTAAAGTTTCCTAACTTCTTTTGTTGACCCAAATCTGCCTTATTTAAAGGCAAAGTTGCATAAAACGAAATGTCTCCTTCAAGGTCTTAAAATTTTGCAGTCTATAGTCTAAAATGACATTGGCAATATTTCGAGCTAACATGATTTCATCCCCCGTGTTTCAATATAACCTAAAAATCAGTCAAGTGGTTACGTAACATGAACATGCTCTATCTTGCGAAAATAAGCTGAAAGCAACATTTTGTCCCCAAAAATACTTAGCTCAACTTTGCAGATGCACTTTTTGGCCGAATTCCATCTTATAAGTACTCCTTCTACCTAATCCGCAGAGTCACATTTTAAATAAACTCGCTACTAAGTCCCGCAAAAATTTCGCTTCGACAGCAAGAAAATTTAAATTGGGAAGTAAAGTGTTACAACTTACAACTTAACAAGATAAAACTATGCAGCAATAAGCGATTTCTGCTATTTATAACTTGGATCATATGTAGTTTAAATGAAGAGAGATTCAATGATAAAATTAAAATTGAAACATTAAAATAACTAAAAAGATCTAATGAGCATCATCCTAATTTAACAATTTGGCGTAAAGCACACAGTGTCGAGCACAATGTATTCAAAACAGCATTATGATTCAGCACGACCCGAATCATTGTGTATATTTAGATTTTGTACCGTTGACAATTATTTAGGAGCTGCAGCGTTAGGTAGGTCAAATTAGCTATGTAAACTAAGCTGAGTAGGAACGCCTCGTGGAAATACTTTTGAACAAAAGAAAATGTATTTTAAGAAACACAATTGAATGGAAATTACAGATACAAATTACACTGTCAGAAATGTATGTTGGTTAATATTCAGCACCTTGTAAACCATGAAGGTTGACTGCGTTATTGTATCGGTGACGTTGAAGAGAATTGCAAATTTTTAAGATGACTATCTCGACTCAAGTGAAGTAAGATACACCAGAAGACGAAGAAAACATGAAACATACGCTACAACAAGCATATCCATTTTCCACTTAAATCAGAAATTAATTCATATTTCCAATTGAAAAGCAAGACCAACATAACCGTAACTATAATACTTTATGAGCGACATATTAATCACAATTTACAACCTTAAGCCATCAGAATATTCAAACGTAAATTATCATTAACCTAATTTCCATTTTGAACGAGCAATTTTTACTTGATCTACTTCGACATAGGCATGAGGAAGTCGCTATCGAAGAACATTATTCTGCCAATTCATAACAATTATATTGGTAGACATGATAATTTACTATAGGTCATCATACCAGTGATAATCGTTGCTAGACGAGGCGTGAGAAGCCATATTTGCGATCTCTTCTGGATAGACCTAGTTGAACATTATCAAAATCTGTATTAACGCTATAATCCTATATCGGCTAAGCGGATCTGACACTAAGGTCGTATGTGAAGGGTTCTAACATTGAAAATTTACCTTCGCTACAAATGTTACTGACATGAATACTATCAGTACAGAATGTTAGCATAGATTTAGAAGCGTTGTAGTCATTGAAGATATTTTTATCAGATCTTTGAAGTATTACGAAATATTGCGCAGCAAGTCCAAGAATAATGATAAAAATTACAAGCGGTTTCTTCAAGGACATTTCTCAAAGAACGCTTTTAGAGATATTATAACTGATTCAGTTGAAGTTATCGTTTAATAAGATGTCTTTGGGAAAGTCCTTGCAAAGCAATAAAGATTACGTTTTACTGCGTAGACAAGACTTTCTACTTGTTTTAGTGGTCAGATGCATCTGAAGCACGATTTTATCATTTACACTTAAACTCGGACATCTTAGAACTGAGATCCGCTGAATGAACCCTAACATATTCTTTTCGTAAATCTATTCTTACAAATGTAATCAGAAAAATGTCTTAGGCAATCCTAAAAGCACTTATAACTCAGCAAATCTAACTCCACTAATGATTTCATCTTTCACAATTTTTCTGCTTCCCTTACAAGCACTTTCGTCGTAGATACATTAAATTCAATAAGATGGAAGAAAAGTGGAAGCGTGGTGATGTTATTCAGGGTGCATTTTAGATATTAGCTTGCTCCCCGTATGAAGATGTAATTACATCACATAGTAGCACTAAAGCGTATTAGGCATCACTTTATATTTAACTAGCTAGTCTCGCGCGGTTTAACCTGCTGCTCGGCTCTATTTACTAACAGCGAGATATTTTATAGTCAGCAGTCGGGAACATTGTAGCTATCTATGAGTGAAAGAATTTTGGCAATTCGACAAGCGGTTCCAAAGATTACCCCCTACATACAAACTTACAAATTTTACCTTTTTATAATATTAGTATAGATGAACAGCCTCTTACCAAGAAGACTACTTGAGTAAGAGAGTAGTCTTGGTAGCTCGAGAATTAAGGAGCCCGCTTCTCATGGATGAGGGTGCGGTTTCGAAACCTTTCAAGGATCAATGTGATTTTTTTTGTAGTGAAATGTATTTTTAAATTGTAATAAATCCTACTGTGAAAGAAAACCTGGACTAATAATTTAACTTTAAGTTTGGAATCGCCTATCAGCCTTGAGCAAGCTTGGTGATTAATGTTTATTCCATCTTCGCGGAAGAAGGCTTTTGCTCAACAGTCAGTACTTATAGTCTGGTGATGATGATGTTCTGATGCAGTTTTGTTGCAGTGTGCATTTATGTGCAAGTCTAAAAATAGCATACTTACATAAAACTGAGAGATAGCAGTAAAAAATGAACACAATTTATTTACAGATAAATAATATCTCTCTCATTAGTCTGGCCCGTATATTACAGTCATAACCTCTTGAAATCTAAAATCATTTATTCTTTACAAGAAATTGGCATTGATGGATATATTTAATGTTTTCTTATTGGCTTTGGCAGTATCATGTATGTTAGTGTTAACGACCTGTTTTGCATGTACTAAATAGTGTACATGCCCTCCATAATTCTCTTAGTGGAGTTCAATAAACGACTGACTTAGAATTCCAAAGATCTGATTAGTTATCGTAATTAAGAACGTTGCATCATCTCACATCATATCATCAGCCTATAAGTGTGTACTGCTGTGCAAAGACCTCTTTACACACGGAGAAGGTTTGAGCATTAATGAACACGCCTGTTCAAAGCGGATTTGCGAATTAGAAGTCAAGATTGGATATAAATGTTTTTCTTTGCGATGCTTTCATAAAATTTAGCATGAGTATTGAAGGATGAAATGGATATGATGTTGGCAGTTTTTCCATTTGAATCATTCCTGAGATAAGGAAAGGACTAACAAACCAAGAAAAAATATAGAAAAATTATATACCACTAGTTTCCAGACCTACATAATATTAATATGTAATAAATATAACCGTATGATAAACTATATGCATTCATCAAGTACAACCAAGTTCAACGACTCGGCTATTTAAGTAACAACGTGACATCTCACTTTTGGTCGTGTTTGCTTTTTTTGTAACCTTTAAGGCCGCGACTCTGTACCAAACGGTTGATTTAATGTTTGACTGCAAACAAAAAGAACCGAGAATGCAGAACCTGATAAGGAAGAATTAACGGGCTCTGATACGATATTCAAAACAGATTCTGTTGATTTAAAAGATGAAAATATAACGGAAGAACATATAAATGTAGATAGAACTTAGAACTGTTTGCTTTAAAAGATAATACGGAATGTTTGCCATTTAAATAGTATTATGCACAACAGAGTGTGTGCGACATTGTTAAGTCAACTACAGTTCTTATCAATTGAAAAGTAACTTCACAAGTTACTGAATAGCGAAAAAGTTGCCAAAGTTGTTACATCAATAAACTAACTTGAACAAGTATAAAGTCATCTTTAGGAAAATTTCGAAGTTATAAAACAAACACAAATCGTTTTCGCAAAGAAAAACATCGGCAAAGCAGGAATAAAATATAACTTTTGGCAACTTTCTTCAACTGGAGAGATTTATCATGTAAATAAAAGGATAACTTAAAAGATGTCGCATATTTACGAACGTTATTAATTTAATAAATAAAATAAAAATGCGCAATACCTTTTCCATGAAGATGTAACAAGAAATAATAATCACTTGTAAACACAAACACAGACACAAAGTTCGTATTTAGGTTATAGACGTTTCGTAAAAGTACCAGGTCGACAGAACAGCGCAGGAGGTTTAAGCGCACCTGTTACCGCGACGCGAGGAACGTTACTGGCACGAAGCGGTCCATTAGTCGCGCGGCACACGTCATGCGGAAGCCGGTTCTGTTGGACACCGATGCCTTCGAAGAAAACCGCGATAAAAGATGCATTCTACACTCAGCGAACGCAAAAAATGACACACCGACTATTAAAGATGACGAAAACATCAACAAACAGAAATAAAACGTGAATTCATATTTAACACTAGCTACGTCTGTGATTTAATTCGCATTGAAAACAGTATCTACAAGTACATGTTGGTAATTAGATAGGTGAAGATGAAGAAAATCGATTACAAATAATAATTATACGTACAGACACATTCAAGATAACTAGAATAAAAAAAAAACTAAAAGATAAAAACATCTCTGGGGTTTATTGAAATGCAGCAGAAAAACCTTCCTGCGCATTATAGTCACAAGTGCAAAAGATATCTATCTCACACTTATTTCAATTCAATTTCCTGAAATAAGAGTATTGTCTAATCAAATTTTATCGTTTTTGTAATGTATTTACAAACGACACACACAAAACTAAATCTTATTGTAAGGGATACGAGGTGTTAAATATCTTATTTTTACTAAATAAATACATTTACCTTTCAAAAGATCAAAATTTTGCGCTTGTGTACGAATATTTATTTCGCAAAAGTTAAACACAGTCAGCTTATGGACGACGATAAAAGGAAAAGTTACGCTAAGGAGATGAGGATTAAATAAAAACAGAATATAATATAAAGCTTTTATGTAAGAATTGACTGAGGGATACATGTGTTGCTGTACCTATTATAAAAGTTATTTACTTTTGAGTAAGTCGTAAAAAACAATCCTTTGCGTTTTGCAGTGTTGTGTACATCTGTTAAGGTGAGAATATGAGATCTTGTATCTTACTAATATTATAAATGCGAAAGTTACGATGTTTCGATGTTTGTAACTCAATCACGCCAAAACAGCTGGACGTATCTGGATGAAATTTGCCATAGGATACACTCAAAACGCACGGTTTATAGAGACAAACTGAACAGTTTTAAGCATTACAGCATATATGCTATACCTATATACCTACGGTAAGGTTTTTTTCAGCATTAGAAAATTATGACACAAATCTAAAGTCTGGTCACGTAGTTACACAAAGGTCACACAAAAGAAATAAAGGAAGATCTTGCGAAACGAGACTAAATACGCCCTTTTTATTGACTGTGTCGTAACGTTATTAAAAGAGGTAAAGTTCATTATTTTACATTTGCCGAGATATCATACTTCCACCGTAGTTTCTATATTTTTAAACTTAACATTGTTATTGACTGCAACAATAAAGCCGATCTGGCGAGGAAGTGTAGCTCACCACCCGATCCTGTCGTTAGCTACTCCAAAGACTATCAGATAGATGAGGTCCGCCAGGGCCGAACTCTAGCCGGGGTTGCGGGTACAAGCGCGACTTGGCTCGACGCAGAAAACCTCTCACACAGGTATCATTGTCCTAGAATGAGAAGGCATTTGAAGATGCTTCCGAAAAAAAAACATCAGAACCGAATGCTCAACTATTATATTTGGGAATGTTACCAAATTGACAAGGGTAGTAAAAAGAAATACTGTTAAAGATTTTACCAAGTAAATTGTTTGAAAGGATAAAATAGTACCGTACCAATCTAACACTGATAAATACGAAGTAATAATAATAATAATAAAACAATCCTGCACCCACCACTGGTCAAGCTCGCGCACGATTGAGATGGACGAGAGAGATGAACGAGTTCATCTGGCGCACCTACCTTCTGGTTACAAATCTAGATACGAAAATCCGCGGTTATTTAGACCCCCTTTACGCCAAATTTACTGACAGATTCCCTGACATGAAAGTTTCCAAACAAAGGCTCGGTGATCAGAAGCGCGCTATTCTTAGAAACAAGCTGCTCCCCGATACTATATTAGAGATAATAAAAAACGAAGTCCAGGTAGAGCTCCAGAATAATAACAATAATCACAATACAATAGGTTTAACACGGATCACAACAACCGAATTGCAACAAACAACCAATGCAAGTACCCGACTTAAATGGACAGATGATATCAACGTAGCTATTATTAGGGAATACTTTAAAATAACACATATTGAAACTAATAAAACTGCATACAGAAAACAACTACACACTTCCATTACACAACAATTTCCAATCATAGCACATGTTTCGGAACAGCGTATTGCAGACCAGCGTAGAGTTATCCTTAACAATAGACTCGTATCAGATGACAGATTGGAGCAAATTAAAAGAGAAGTAAGAGACTATCTTAGCACACAATCAATACATAATATACAACACGACGATATATCAACAAACAACACAATTTTTAATACCTCGAATCCTGATGGTAACGCAAACACAGACACAGGTACAACAATATTCCAGCAAGAAATGACGAATACTATATTAGTTGACGATAGTCTAGACACCAAAATAGAAAAGACCTTCGAAGAAATTTTCTACAAATATTTATCAACAGATCCTACTAACAGACCTTTTATACCCAAACAAAAAACGTCTAAAAGATTTGCACACATTATATCTTATTTAAACAACAAAATTTTACCAAAATACAGCACTAAAGATGACGATTTCCTTAAAACTCACGCTCTGGTATACTGTGCAGCTCACACTGCTGCCTTGTGTAATGGCTCTAAAATCAAAGACCACATCCAAACACACAGTACACAACATGTCGACATTAGGAAAGATAGGCGACCAAACTGGTTGAGACGACTTGACCAAAAGATTCTCATAATACGCAAAGAAATAGGTAGAATGACTCAATACATAAACGGAAATAGAAATTTAAGACTAATAACACATATTGAAAAAATCAAACATAAGTATAGAACACATTCTAGTTATGAAGAACCAAACACAACCAATGAGCAATTCATGGATAGCCTAAAACAAAAACTTACAGCTATAACAAGTAGGCGGCGTAGGTACTTTTACTGCACGAAACGAAAGAATCAGAATTCTGAATTTACAAACAATGAAAGACAATTTTATAGAAAACTAGCTACCGACACGACACATACACAAAATCAACAGCAAGCAACAGAAATACCACACCCCAACTCTGAACAGCTACACAACTACTGGTCGAATATTTGGTCAAAAACATCTGAGCATAATCAGACTGCCACGTGGATACAAGTCGATAAAAAAAAATTAGAGCAACTACCACACATGTCATTTGATACTGTTCCGCTCGAAGTGTTTGTTAAAGTAATTCAAAAAGCTCATAATTGGAAATCACCTGGCACGGATCACATCCATAACTACTTCTACAAGAAACTCACTTTCTTACATCCATCTATATATAACCATATTAATGACTTTTTAAAAAACCCACACAACATCCCTAACTTCATTACACAAGGCCTAACATACATGATCCCTAAAAACTCCGACCACACGAACCCAGCCAATTACAGACCCATAACTTGCTTACAGACGATCTATAAATTAATCACTGGTTGCATTTCAGAAATAATCTACAGACACATATTACAAAATAACATTCTAGCTGAAGAACAGAAAGGTTGCCGTAAATATAGCCAGGGATGCAAGGAGCAGCTGACTATAGACTTGATAGCCATGCAACATAGCGTTAAACAGAAAAATGACATTTTTACAATGTACATTGACTACCAAAAGGCCTTTGACTCAGTTCCTCATAGTTGGCTACTATATATATTAGACCATTATAAAATTCACCCAGATCTAATCAAATTTTTAAACGAATCCATGAAACATTGGAGTACCAAAATAAAACTAGGAAAATCAGTGCAAACAGACCCTATACCAATTAGACGGGGTATTTTTCAAGGAGATGCTTTAAGTCCTCTATGGTTCTGCCTCGCTCTGAACCCTCTCTCTAACCTTCTGAACTCTTCTGACTACGGTCTCTCTCTAAAAGATAACACTGGACAAAATTTTCAATTAACCCATCTGATGTTCATGGATGACATTAAACTGTATAGCAATAGTGTATTAGGACTTTCTTCACTTGCAGACCTCACACAAACCTTTTCAGATGACATAAACATGACTTTCGGCATTGACAAGTGCAAAACATTCACTCTCATGAAAGGTCAACACATCGAAAATAATCCGTATACACTGGGATCTGGGGATATAATCGAATCAATGACACAAAATTGCAGTTACAAATATTTAGGATTTGAACAAACATACCAAATCGACAAAAAACACGCCAAAAATAAAATAACCACAAAATATAAACACAGAATCAACATGCTTGTAAGATCACAATTAACATCCCGTAATCTATTCAAATCCATTAACACATTTGCCATCCCTATACTCACGTACTCTTTTGGAATAATTCACTGGTCAAAAACGGATCTAAGAAAATTACAACGGACTATAAATACAGCTCTGACGATAAACAGGAAGCACCATCCCCGATCTTGTGTGCAAAGACTAACACTACCGAGAGAAGATGGAGGACGGGGTCTTATAGATATTGAAAATTTGCACAACCAGCAGATTGGCAACTTAAGGAAGTTCTTTTTCCACAAAGCCCAACAATCACAAATTCACAAACTTGTTTCTTGTCTAGATCAAAATTACACACCACTGAACCTTCACTCTTCTAACCCACAACGCAATGAAAGCATAACCACCAAAACAGACAAAATCGCAGCCTGGGAACGTAAATCCCTTCATGGAAGACACCGCCTCGACTTGCAGCAACCTCATGTCGATATCAAAGCATCGAACGCTTGGCTGCAGCGAGGTGAACTGTTCCCTGAAACGGAGGGATTTATGATTGCCATACAGGACCAGGTAATTGACACAGCCAATTACCAAAAATATATAATCCGCAGACCCAACTACAACGACAGCTGCAGGCGATGCCATGGTGCTTCGGAGACGATCCAGCACATCACTGGCGCCTGCAGAGCAATAGCCCAAACTGATTACAAACACCGTCACGACCAAGTAGCTGCCATAATTCACCAATCCCTTGCTATCAAAACAAAACTAATTACCGAAAGAATCCCATATTACAAATACAAGCCGCA